AGTAATGACTCAGTAATATTTTTTAATGTTATCTCCTCGGGCAAGGGAAACAAAAGAAAAATGAACAAATGACACTACAAACTAAAATGTTTTTCACAGCAAAGAAAACCATCAACAAAACAAAAAGACAATTGACTGAAAGTGAGAACATATTAACCAATGATACTTCTATTAAAGGGTTAATATCTAAAATTTATAAATAACGCATACAACTCCTAAAAACAAACAATCCAATCTAAAATGGGCAAAAGCCTGAATAGACATTTCTCCACAGGGGACATACAGATGGCAAACAGATATATGAAAAGTATTTCATTGTCAACAAAAACAAAGAGAAATTACCTCACACCTGTCATAATGGCTATCATCAATACATCACCAAACAAGTGTTGGTGAGGATGTGGAGAACAGGGAACCCTTGTGCAGTTTTGGTGGGAATGTGGACTGGTGCAGCCACTATGGAAAACACCATGGAGTTTCCTCAAAAAATTAAAAATAGAATTACCGTATGATACAGTAATTCCACTCCTAGGAATATATGTGAGAAATCCAAAACACTAATTCAAAGAGATATATGCAACCCTATGTTCACTGCAGCATTATTTATAATAGCTAAGATATGAAAGCAACCCAAGTGCCCGTCAACAGATAAATGGATACAGACGCAGTAAATATTTACAATGGAATATTACTCTGCCGTAAAAAGAATAGAATCTTACCATTTGTAACATGGATGGACTTACAGGGAATTATGCTAAGTGAAATAAGTCAGACAAAGAAAGACAAATACCATCTGACTTCATTAATATGTGGAATCTAAAGAACAAAATAAAGAAACAAAGAAAACAGAAGAAACACATTCATACATACAGTGAACAAATTGAAGGGACACTAGATGGGAGAGGAGTCAGGGGGTAAGTGAAAGAGGTGAAGGGAATAGAAAGTTACAAAACTATCACAGGGATGTAAAGTACAGAATAAGGAATATAGTCAATAATATTGTAATAACTATTTATGGTGCCAGGTAGGTACTAGTATTATCAGTGAGATCACTTTATAAATTATATAATTCTCAAACCACCACGCTGTACACTTGAAATAAATACTAAATAACACTGTATGTCAACTGTAATTTAAAACTAAAAATAAATAAAATACAATGTAACTATCTTAATTTAATTGACTTATGACAGTATTCTTTATTTAGTGAGGTAAAGCTCACAAAACATAAAACGAACCCTTTTAAAGTGAAAAATTCAGTAGCATTTAGTACATTCCCAACATTGTGCAACCATCACTTCTAGTTTCAAAACATCTTCCTCACCATAAAAGGAAACTCCATTCCCATTCAACCGATATTCCCAATTCCCCCCATCCCCAGTCCCAGGCAAGGACTAACTTACTTTCTGTATGGATTAACTTATTCTGGATATTTCATATAAAACGAATCATACAATTATAAATAATGTAAAAAATGAATCTCTACATAAAAAATAACTTTTATTTTACTTAGGAGCATTTCATCTTAAAATTTAATGAACAGAGATTAAGAACCTCTTATATAATCATAAATTTCATTTTTATTTCTTTAAATTATATTTTATTGATTATGCTATTACAGTTGTCCCTATTTTCCCCCATGGCCTTCCTTCACCCCTCACCCCCCACTCACTCAGGAAATCCACCCCATATTGTTCATGTCCATGGGTAATGTGTATAGGTTCTTTGGCTACTCCATTTACTATACTGTACTTTAAATCCCATGGATACTATGTGACTACCTATTTGTACTCCTTAACCCTTTCACCTCTTTACCTATTCCCGTACACCCCCCGTCCATTTGGCAACCATCAAAATGCTCTCTGTAAACATGACTCTGTCTCTGTTCTTTGTGTTAGCTTAGTTTGTTTTTAGATTCAATTGTTGATAGGTATGTATTTATTGTCATTTTATTGTTCATACTTCTGACCTTCTATTTCTTAAATAAGTACTTTAACATTTCATATAATAATGGTTTGATGATGATGAATTCCCTTAGTCTTTTTTGTCTGAGAAGCTTTTTACCTGCCCTTTGATTCTAAATGATAGTTTTGCTGGGTAGAGCAATCTTGACTGTAGGTCTCTGGTTTTTATGACTTTGAGAATTTTTTGCCAATCCCTTCTTGCCTGAAAAGTTTCTTTTGAAAAGTCAGTTGACAGTCTTATACAAACTCCCCTGTAGGTAACTAACTTCTTTGCTCTTACTGCTTTTAAGATTCTCTCTTTATCTTTAAGCTTTGGAATTTTAATTAGGACGTGTCTTGGTATGGTTCCCTTTGGGTCCACCTTGTTTGGGACTCTCCGTGCTTCCTGGACTTGCATGTCTATTTCCTTTATCAAATTAGGGAAGTTTTCTTTTATTTTTTTTCAAATAGATTTCCAATTTATTGCTCTTTCTCTTCTCCTTCTGGTAACCCTATTATGTGAATATTGGACCTCTTGAAATTGTCCCAGAAGTTGCTTATACTATCCTCACTTTTTGAGATTCTTTTTCGTTCTTGTCCTGATTTATTGTTTTTTTGCTTCCTTATGTTCCAAATCATTGATTTGACTCTTGGCTGCATCCATTCTACTGGTTGTTTCTCTGTAAATTGTTCTTTATTTCAATTAGTGTATCCTTCATTTCTGACCGGATCTTTTTGATGCTGCTGAGGTCCTCACTAAGCTCCTTGAGCAACCTGAGAACCAATGTTTTGAACTCTACATCTGAAAGATTCCTTATCTCCATTTTGTTTCACTTTTTCTGGAGTTTTGATCTATTATTTCATTTGGGCCATGTTTCTTTGTCTCCTCATTTTGGCAGCCTCCCTGTGTTTGTTTCTATGTATCAGGTAGAACTGCTCTGACTCCATATCTTGGTAGTGTGGCCTAAAGTAGCAGGTGCCCTGTAGGATCCAGTGGCACAGCCTTCCCTATCACCCAAGCTGGGTACTCTCAGTGCATCTTTCATATGGGGTAAGTACAGGCCCCTCTTACAGTTAAGCTCTACAGTTGGCAGACCAATGGGAGAAATTTACCCAGGCCAGTCAACTGCAAGGATTGGCTGTGACCACTGCCCACCAACCTCTGCCCTCCATAGAGGATCAGCTGTCCAGAGGCAGGGTGGTAGGGGCAGTCTGTAGCTGCCCACTAGATGTGCAGGCCCTGGGGTTTCCCAGGTAGTGCAGGCCAAGGTCAGCCCCCACCTGTGTTTTGCCCTGGGCCACCCTGCTTGAGCTGTAAAGCAATCTGAAATGGCTGCTACTTGTGCTGGGCTTGGAGATTCCCAGGTGAAGCCAAACTGTGAACCTAGGCTGCTGCTGCTAGTGCTAGGCCTGGAACTTACTGAGGTTAGCTGTTGTTTGAGAGGATTTAGGAAGTTGTGAAGCATGAGCCAAAACCAGCCATTCAAATGGAAAAACAGTGTGGGCAGACATGTAAGTTGGGTGGGGTAGAGTCTCCAGGGATCTCCAGGGCAGGTCAAACAGTGTTAGCCAGGTTGATGGAGTCTCAGATATGGCACCAGCTTGCTGGCTCTGTGGGGGAGGGTTCAGAAAAGACACAATGGCCTCTGCTTGCCTCTATGCCAGGCACTTCTGTTTCTCCCTGTATGCCACTGGTGCCTTTTAAGCTGTTACCCCAGTGCTGGAACACAGAGGGAATGAGTCTGAGTAGGTGAGTCTGTGTGTAGATTCTTTAAGAGAAACTGCTTGGGACTCGAAAGTTTTTCCACCAACTCAATCCTACTGATTTTTATAGCCAGAAGTTATGGGTACTTATCTTCTAGGCACTTGGGAGCTTGGGCTGGGGGGCCTGGTATGAGGCTCGGACTCCTCACTCCTAAGATATCCCTTCCGAATTTTTATATACCACACATGGGTGTGGGACCAGCCCATTCTGTGCTGGTTTCCCTCCTATTAGTCTAGATGGATGTGGCTTCTTTAGTTCTGTAGTTGTCAAGACTTCCATTCACCTCAATTTCTGATGGTTCTGAGTGATGATTATTCTGTATTTTAGTTGTAATTTTGATATGGTTGTGCAAGGAAGCAAGTCATGTCTGTATAGATGAAAAGTCCCTCATAATCATAATTTTTTATTTTAATTAATGAAAAAAATGATATAACATGGTTATTTATTTTCTCTTTACAGGCAAAAAAAGAAAAAGAAAGAAAAATATCTAAAACAACTACCCAGATTATACCAAAGTGTAAGATGAGTCAATTTAAAAAGCTGAGTATATACCAAACAGTAAGATGTCAGAAGCAACAAGAAAATGGCAAAAATTCATAATTCATAATAAATCTGATAAACCTAAAACATATTTCAATTTGCATTATTTATGAACTCAGGTTTTATTATATAAAATATAAAATATCAATTTATTAAACTTAAAGGTGAAGATTTTAAAAAAACAATTTCAAATTAAAACTTTAATAACCAGAGAAAGGTTACAATTAAATTTTCCTTTAGTCCTTCATAAAAATCAGCTGTAAGTAATTCAAAAGAGTCTGAGCAATTTTTTCATTACCTAGGCTTCTTTGCTTAATTTGCATTAAAAATTATTCTATCATATTTCATAATATAATGAGTTCCTGCCTTCACTTATGCCTTCTATTTCTGTTGTGTTTTTATAATCTCTTCATCTTGACTCTCATATTAAATCTTTATTTTCATCTTACTCTTCTTACATGGATTGTCCCCCTTTATACTTTTTATATCTTCACATTCATCTACTTGTTCTTTCCAGTAGCTTTCCAATGTATTCCTTCCATTAGGGCATGTGTAAGAACTGTTTATACATGCCCACTAACCTGTATAAATCCAAATCTTGTACGTATATTGCTCTTCTTCCTATTCTTGTTTTCTATTATGATCTTAAGGACTTCCATTTCTTTCTAGGGTCCTGGTCATTACTATAGAATGATCAGGGGTATGGTATGTGAAAAATCATGGGGAAAAACAGTTAAAATAATAAAACTTACCTTTGGAAAACCAATGCGTTCTAAAGACATGTGAGAAGCTTTTAGAAGAGGTTCAAGTGATGAAAAGGTAGGTTGAGAAAAGCCCTGGACTTTTTCAGATGTCTTGGGGAAAGTTCCAATCACATCTTCATTTTCACTATGAAAAGTATTGTCTTCACATAAGGTCCTATTTTCTGGTCCCACAATGGCATATTTTGCTTCTGCTACATTAAAACAAAGTAAAGAATACATGAAAATATTTATAACTTCAAATCAATGAATAACAGAAGTACAGCCAGCCTTCAAGTAGCTTACTGTTTTCGTGGGATTGTTGAATAGCGGTCATTAGCTTTGTCAAGCTTGGCTTCATGACATTCTAGAAAAAAAATTAGATCTTTAAATAACAAATTTGAAAGCAACAATAATACACACCATTCCTATGTGAGATTACACAAAAATGTAATCATTCAGATGTAAGATGAAAGTCTTCTTTCACTGCAGATGGCTATTGTTGTGTTGGTTGTCATTTTTAAAATTTGATAATCTAAGGGAAAAGAGGTCAGTGCCCCTGACTGAATAGCCAGGTATTGCATGTTTTAAAAATTCTAGCTGCATACCAGTTAAAAATCACTGGCATGGATGGACCTAGAAAGTATTATACTAAGTGACAAAAGTCAAAAAGTGAAAGACAAATACCATATGATTTTACCTACATATAGAATCTAATGAACAAACAAAAAAGAAATGAATAGATGCAGAGAACAAATGGTGGTGGTGGGGATGGAGGGCAGGTAGCAAAATGGTGAAGGGATTAAGAAACACAAATTGGTAGTTACAAAATAGTCATGGGGATACAAAATGCAGCATAAGGAATACAGTCAGTAATACTGTAATAACTATGTATGGCATCAGGGGAATACTGGCTTTATTGGGGAGATCACTTTGTGATTTATATGAATCTCTTACTACTATGCTGTACACCTGAAACTAATATAATATTGAAAGTCAACTGTAATTGAAATAAGAAGTTCAAAAGCAACAATGAGTTTTCTGAAATTTGATGTTTTACTATTTGGTTATTAAGAATTTCTGCTTCTAGATCTAGTTATTTTAAGCAAAACATGTATTCTTCACTTAAATACATAGTTTTAAATTGACTCTCAATGGAATGACTTAAAATAACAGTGGGATCCTTTTGCAACACAGTTTCTGAGAAAGACAACTTAAATTTCTAAGCTTACACATTTTATAATATTATTTCAGTTCAAATGTGGAACCTAAGTTAGACAAAATAAAACTCTCTCCTAACAATTATATGATACCAAAATAAAAGCAGCCCAAGATCAAAGAAACCTATATATTATATGATATATAGTTTTAGAACTGAGAGATACCAAGATTTCCTGATTATTACAGTAAGTAACTGGATCCACTAAAGAATCACTTAGGCATGAATATTATAAAAATCATGCTGGTATGATTTAAAAGTCACATTAAAAATGCTTATCCTTGACCAAATTTCCCATCTTGTCTTTAGTGAGAAAGTTTTTCTCACTGTAATTTTTCTACACCCTTTTCTAAAGGGTGTATTTTCCAGGCCTTTCTCTTTTTCAGCCCCCACCTTGAGTACTTAAAGTTAAAAAAAATATGCAATACATCATGTTTCTACCCAAATGATTTGCTCTGACCAATTTTTCATTATAAACATAAAATAATGATAGGTAGACCAATACTACATTTTAAGAGTAAGTGCTACACAAAAGTAAATTCAGAGCAGGAAAATTAATTCCATGATAGAGCACTTTACCTTGGTATCAAAATTGAAGTCTTCATCTTCTGATGTAGGCCATGAATCATCAATGTCAGGTTTGCTGGACAGCCTTTAGAATAAAAATAGCCAATAAAAATTAGCTCATTCCTTTAAAAAAACAACCAAAAAGTTGAGTGAAAGGTCAGTTATCTGTATATTAAATGAAGTTTCTTCTATAATTAATATTTGGCCTGTTTTAAAAAAGCTGCCTCCATGTCCCCCAACCTATGAACTATTCAATGAAGACGCTAAGTTCCCACGAAGGGTGACAGCCAATATAATAGCAAAGCCTGAAGTTAATTTGTTTTCACACAAATTCCTAAACGCAGAATTAAAAATCCAATAAACGGCTGACACGACTTTTGATTCCTGAACTGGAAAAGATCTGATGATCTGATGACCTTAATCAAGGTAGAAAGACACACTGTTTCTTCTCCATTGTCTGTCCTTGGTTCAAAGACTAATCTATGTCTGTCAAAAATAGCAGTCTAGTTTCTTTAGGAAGGAACTTATTAAGGTGACTCTATTTCTTCCTTCTGCCCAAAAACAGTATAGGGAGTTCCTTGACATGTTTAAATGTTAAATGTCCAAATGTCAAATAACAAATGTTATGACGTTAGCCTTCCCACTCCCAGATCAAGCTTCTGCATGCTCCAAGACCATCTCCAACCTTTAAATATTCAGCCTATGAAGACACAGACTCTTGAACAAGGATGGGCTCAAATGACCAAGAGTAGAGTTCTCTATTTCTCTGCTCCTGGAAAATAAGCGAAATGGAGTCTGCCATCCACTCCTAATATAGGCATGTTATCAACTACCCAACTACATTACCAATTTGATAGCCGTCCCTACCCCATTCCTACATGGGAAGGACATCAGCTAATTGGGAAAGAGGCAGAGGTGAGGAGACACCTGCAGTGGGCCATAGATCTACACAGTTCAGCAATCTCCAGTTCCTTACAACTCAAGGGGATCTAAGGCCCACTCTGTAAGTTGGAGTTCAGAGAGATGATACCAGAGTCTTGTTTGCAATAAGGACAATCTTTCCAAATTATCTTAATACCTTTCAACAGAAACCCTGAATTTTGCTAGTTTTTCCAATTAAGCAAACAAACAAAAGAGGAGTAACCTCTTCAGGACTCTCTTGAAATCTTTATTTTAATCTGCCTTTCTAGACAACTCCCAGCATCCTGTGGCCTTCCTTCTTTTAACTTATCTTTAACTTGTCATAAGCCCCAATATTTTGATCTCTTCTCCCTACCTGTTCTTTCATCTCTTTTCTAAAACCCTTATTCCTATCACAACCCAGTGTTGTTCCTTTTGAATTTCATTGCTAATTATTCTATCTTCTTGCACTGCATTCACTACACCTAGTCCCTACTAGGCTTAGAAACCTGAATTTACATCTCACTTCCACCACTGACCATATCCAAAGAAGTCACTTTAATTTCTTTGAGTTGCAAATTCTACATGTTAGCAACCAGTTTGCCAGGATGTTAAACACAAGCTGAAGTTCTAGAGGGTGTTTTGATTAATTGCTAAGATTCCTTAATGTGCTCTTGATTCTATCTATAGAAAAATGGAGAACATGTAGCTGGCAGAAGTGGAAAAAACTAAGATGATGAGAGAAACTCCAAAAAAGGCAGAGAAGAAAGTTAGAAATCAAAAAAAGTCATGGAAGAAAAAAGGACTCTAGATAAAAAAGAAAAAAAAAGTCTCATACAGCTAGGCAAAGTTACTGGCATGAAGAGAAAACCAGACTGGGAAGTCAATGAGTCAAGAAATCAGTTCGGAATATCCTCTAAATAGATGCTGAATTGAATCAACATAACATGGTCTATGCACAGATATTCTTCACTTACAAAAGAGTAATTCATATGAAGAACAGAAATCATTATACTTAAAAACACTTGCCTGATTAGGTCGTCCTTAGGTAAAGCCTATCTGTGGCCATAGTTAACTGAGATGTGCCCTAAAATAGTTTTGGGAAAAACAAGGTACTAGATACCACTGCAATTGTCAAGTAATGCTTGGACTAACTGGGTTTCTTAGGAAAACTCTAATTCAGAGTTAACAAACAACTAGACTTGACTTTCTGAGGTGAACTGATCTGTGTTTATCTTGATGCCTGTGCTACACAGAATCTTACCAGTGTATGTTGAAGGACAACAGAATTAATTGGGGAGCCAAGCAGGATGACACTCAAACCATGGGTCAGCCACTTGTTAATTATGGAATCAGGGGACAATTAATCAGTGTACCTGTACCACAGCTGCCTAATTAATGAAAAGTAGGCTATCAGAGCACAGCTACTTTGCAAAGCTACTGCAGAAACAATACAACATGTGTTAATTACATAACACAGTGTCCAGTCCAGGGCAGAACACTCAGAAACATTTGTTTCTTTTCTCTTCATTCCCTTAGTTAACATACAATTTTTAGAAATCCATAAATTCCTACCTGCTTAAAGAGTCTTCTTCAGACTTCTCAACCACTATTTAAAAAAAAAGTAAAATACATTGTAAATCAACAATGGAAAAATATAGAAGTTTAAAAGTACCAGACTGATGCTTCATTAGAAAATATTACTTTGGGACCACACTTGAAGACAATCCTACAGTGAATATGGATGACACTATTAGTAGGCAATTAATACATTAAGAACATTTACTTTTCCTCCTTTATATATAATAAATGCAAGAAAAAAAAGAATGAGATCTATCTTAATTTGGTATCTCCAAGTGAACTGCTATTTACAGTGATCATAATCCTAACCAAACCCCACCAGACTGACAGAAAAGGGCATCATTAGTGGAATCAGTACCATAAACTAACAACATCATTCATTCAAACCAAAATAGAATAATTTTTCTGGACTCCTACCATTAAGAGCAGTTAGAAGAGAGTATATTTATTTTGCTGGAACACAATACAATTTCTTGAGCTCTTCAGTGAAAACTACCCACCCTATCACAAGGGAGCTTGGTCTACAGGCACTGCACTTTGCGCATGGCAAAACATAGGGAACAGACTCTTTCTGGTCCTATTTCCAATTGCAGGGTAAGAATGACAGACTTCGTGATTCCAGTTTTACAAAGTAGGGGCCCTGGAGACAGGCTCTTTCCATTGCCAGAGCCTATCTGGACCCACCTCAGAGCAGGATGTCCAACAGTTAGTGCTGGGCAGTGGTACATGCTGTCATTTTTCTCAACCCTCCCCAGTATGTGGCAAATGTCTATAGAAAGCATGCTTTTTCTTCAGCTTGTAAGGCACAGGTCATCACACCCTATGCTTATCAACAACAATAACAACAACAACAACAACCCATAAAGGACAAAAAACATCTTGGATGATTACATTCAATTACCTTAGAATTTTAATTTTTTAAATATTCAAAAAAAATACCTACTGTATGATTCCAACTATACAACATTCAGTAAAAAGGTCAGTAGTTTCCAAGGGTTAGAGGGAAGGGAGGGATGAATAAGTAGAGTAAGGCAGTGAAATGATTCTGTATGATTCTGTAATGGTGGACACATGTCATCATACATTTGTCAAAACCCAAAGAATGTACAACACCAAGAATATACAACATGGTTAATGTGAACCATGAACTTTGGGTGATAATGAGCCATTATTTGGGTTGATGTGCTATACCTGTCATTGAATTTGTTTTTCTTGACACTTGTTTTGGAGACTCCTGTAGATCTATATCCACTTGAATAAAGTAATAAAAGGGATAAATGAAACAATGTCAGAAAATATATGAAACCAGCAACAATCCTATTTTAATCAAATAAAAATAATTCTAATGACTGACAATATGTTCTATGGTATGAAACTTCCTATAAAGAAAATAAAAACACTACTGTTAATTTTCTCTAACTAAGCAGTGTTTAATTTCCTTTTATAATAAATGTGAATCAATCACTTGTGATAACTACAGAAAAACTAACTTATAATTATTATATGTAGTATAATACTGTACCAGGGATTATAAGAATTCTTTTTATTTGTTCCTAATATTTTTCTTAATTTCTTATTAAACTGAAAATATAACTCACCTATTAAAGGCATTCGTTGATAAGAAAAGCCAAAAAGTCAAAGAAATTGTGTACAAAATGTACATAAATTATCCATCAAACTCAACATGTATGGAAAAGTAACCTGGTCTTCCCTGTTGACCTCTTGCCCCTTCCTGTTCATCTGATAAAGTCCTATTCTTCGTGTCCAATTTAATGCTAATGAACAACCTGCAAACCTATGAATCATCTTAGATTTTTCTCTCTTTGCTAACTTTTTAAATTCAATCATCATTAAATCATATTAACTAGATCTCTTTTCTGTCTCTGCTTTATTTTTTCACTGCCCCTGACCTAGTCAATCATGGACTCTTAACAGATGGCTTTCACAGAGAAAATAAACACTACCAACTATTATTGCTGTTTCTTAAATGAACAAGATTTTGTAAGCAAGATAAAAAACATGTAGGCCTAGAAACAGACCACATTTTAAATTGAATGAATTAAGCTTACCATACACTTTTTATTTCAGCATAAACAGGTGAAAACTTCATAATGAATTGATATTAGTTCAAGACAAATTCTACCCACTTTTAAAAAAACCTAATTCCCCATTGTACACTTAAAGTGTATAGCACATATTATGCACCAATAAAAGAAGAAAAAACAATGATAATTATAAGCTCCTAGTGGGCTCTGGCACCTAGTAAGCACTGAATAAAATATAGTAAGTACTAAAAATGACAATAACAACAACCTCCTGAAAGGCAGAGACTGTGTTTTTAAAATACTTGTATTTTGCAACATCTGAATAATAGTACCTAAGACACTTAACAGTTAAATAGCAAACCATTTAGCACACAAATGAATAAATGAATTTTGAAATTTTCTTTGAAAATTCTGTTTAAAAAAACCACAGAAATAAACCAGGGACAGCTCTATAATTATGAGCACCTTAAAGATCAAAACTCAAAAAGATTTCATCTTTATGTTCTTATTATTTGCAAAACCAACCTAGACAAGTACTTTGATAAAGGTCTACTAAGTCAAAGGTGTCCTCATACCATTCACACTGCACAATGTGCCACATTCAGGCAGCACACCAGCATTTTTGTTATTGTGGAATATTTTTATACTTTTATTATAATGTGTTGAGTCCCTACTTGGGCTATTTGAATATTTATTACGATTATCTTTTGACCAATAGTAACAGAGAATCGTACTCTAAAGAAATTATAGTGTCATGATAATGATCTAACAGAAGGAAACATCTTTTTCTATTGAAGTCAACATATCTCATTCTGTTTTGACCCATGAGAAATTAAGTTGATAACAATAAGACCCTGTTGATATACCAGTAAGTACAATAACCTATGCTTCTCAACAAGGCATTGCCTTTCTGACTTCTGTACTATCAGTAGATAGCTCTAAAAATATTCTCATTGGGAATGTTGCACACGGCTAAGTTTTATAGGTCTTATTGTTTGCCATTTGTTTATGGTACTAAAAAAGTATTGCTGAGTTCCTAGTTTTAGTTCCTTTTTTAGTGAGACAAATAAGGATATAATAACCAGTATTTATTTACTAAATGTAATCCATTTGTTCTAAAAACTAAAGAACCATTTTTATAACAAGTTTAATTTGTTATTATGTGATTACAGGGGAAACATATAACATCGTAACTTAAAAATCTTTTTCTCTTTTCCTTAAAGATATCATATGAAATTTTAGGGGTCATGACTAAATAAATGAACTTCTTTTCAAACGACATTGCCCCAGATTTTAAATTACTTACAGTTAACTTTTTAAATAATATGAATACTATTCTATTAAGAAAGAAATTAAGAAAGAAAAACTGTACATGCAATTTACACTTTTCCTTCACTGCTCTTTCATTGTCAAAACTTCCTTACTCTTACTTATCAACGGTAGGACTACCAAGAGTAATATACTATTAGATGTCTTACCAAGACTTTTGCTACTTTCAGAACATATTTTAGGTCTTCTTTCTCCTTTGTATTCACAAGTTAGTTGACGACTGCTGTGTATAAAAAATGGTGATAAATAATATTACTATCTTAATACTGATATCAAAAATATTTTTCAAATACATTAAATTCTTAGTTATTTCAGATAATATCTGAGCTAATATTAAAACTTTATACAATACACTCCAAATGTGTAAACTCTACAAACTTTTTAAGATAAAAAAAGTAATGTAAAACAGTCATGATTTGAGGGTAGTATAGTCTTGTAAATTAATTAGTTAGCTTGACAAAATGGCAAATGTCTTGAACTCAGAAGTCCCAGCTCTATAACAAAGAGCTATTTTTTCTCAAACAAGCACTTCTCTTTGACTCAAAGTCCTCCTCTACAAAACAAGAATCTTAGTGTCTTACTTTACAAGGTTGTTAAGGATGACTGACTAAATGAGATAATACACCAAAAAGAGGTGCTCAGAGAAACAGGATAGCAAAGAAAAATCTGTTTATTTGTTGAACCTATTATGGAATCCCAAATAAACCCCAATGTGGGTTTTTCATTGCTTCTAACGACCAAATGTCACAGTTTTCAGAAAATATAATTAGCTTAGTTATTAGCTGCTCCTTTGTGGTTTGTAATTCAGGGCATCTCAGTATTATATAACTTACAACAAAATTTATTTAGAAATATATTACTTATTAAATTAGATAACATAATATTCCCCCTATTAATATAGCTAATCATACCAAGGGCAGAGAACTAAGAGAAGTCAGGACCTGGCCTGGACTACTACTACCACCCCCTCTCTACCTGCTCAAACTCTGAACCAGCAGGTCTTTATGAGAATGATGCTTAATCTCTCTGTCCACCTGCAACTGACTTGGAAGATATAATCCTACTTGTCACACATGGATACCGATGAGTCATGGATGGGGACTTAGTAAGTCTAATGCCAATAACCTACTTTTGATTCAGAGCTTTCTGTTGACTGACTTCCATGTGAGGCATACTTTTAAATGTTTTGAAATCTTCAATTTTAAGTCACTAAAGTCATTGGAAAAGTTTTCATCACTATGGAAAACAGATCACTTGAGGGGCCAACCTTAACTACGGAATCTCAGGAAAGTTGGTGCCTACTATTCTGGGAAATTGTAGGCCTCCCTTAACTTAAACAAATACGCTCTAGAGGATAGAAAGTGGCCTTGGGGTACAAATCTGGCAACAAAGAAAGGAAAGTCCGATCTTGTCCTGCAGCATTACTTGAACCTCTGACAGCTTAGAATGATTCCAAATAACACCTGCTAGAAAAAAAAATGCTCAAAGGATAACTAGTGTGCAAAGGTCTGGACTAAGTCGTGAGTTCCACATAGGTTTTTAAGTATGTGGGGAAGGCTATGGGTAGCTAAAGCTAGGGGGCCCAGCTGTCAGAAGAAGGTGCTAGTAATTAGAATCAGGGATGAGCATACAAGTATATGTATGTAAACTAAACAAAAAAAAAACAGAAAAAAAGCTGTAATTTTTAAGTCCCAGTGCAGATCAACATAAAGACTTGGGAATCCAGATCAGCAAGGGCAACCTAGGAGCAAAGATCAACCATGACTATAAGGCCAGTTTCAACAGCATCTTTGCAGAAATAGAATCAATGGAAACAACAAACTAATTAATCTCTTTTCTTACTTTTTCATGTGACTTGTGAAAGAGAATTATATCCCTTGAACTAAAGAACTCTTTAGGTTCTTGAAAAATTCAAGGAGAAGAGTACAAGAGATACCCCCAGAAAATACACAATTTTCTGCTAAACTGAACATTTTGAGATCCCCATATAACTACTTAGAAAAATCACAGATATGACATTATTTGTACCCCATGCATGGGGGTTCTATATAGAAATAAATGGGTAATGTTAGGACTCCCCAATGATACAGATCTTAAAAGTTCTGAGGTGAAGAATTTGGCCCATTGCTACTGCTCACTAGTCTAGTCTTTTGCTTAATTTCTGGCTGCTGGCACAGACTAATTCACTGCCATTCCCAAACTGCCTGAACCAAACTATGAAATCTCATCTGTTACATAAGAAGTAACGGTTAAATTATTTTAAACCTCAGTTTAGTGATAACTATCATTTTAATGTAAACACAAACTAAAACCACTAACAAAAGCATATTCTTCCATAGTCCATCCATAGTTATCTTCAGAAAAGACACCAATGCCTTGCTGAAGAAAAAGTCTGACTATATTTGTGAACTTGTCATTTACAGCAAACATGAGGGCTGTTCTATTAGAATATAGAGATAAACTTTACCCTCAGGAACTTCAATTAAGTTTTTTAAACAGCTAATTAACATATGTTACCAAGTTAATACCCTGGTTTTATCTGTGTAGAATTGACATTTACATGCTGAAGTGTTCACCTTTGTAAATTACCTCCAAGGCTAAAATGAAGGGACAAAAAGAAAGCCTCTAGTCCCACTTGGGTATTACATAGTAGAATTTGCTAATGTAAAGTCCTCAAACAGATAAGAAACTATGCCAAGGTCACTGATCTGAAGTAGGTGAAGATTTAAATCAAGAATTTCCTGTTTCATCCTTAGTCTGATATATTGTACTTTAAAGTCAGCTAGAAGTCAGGTAAGTAAAAGCTATTTGGCAGGCTTAAGAACAATATGAATAATATGAATAACAATTATGATAATAATAATCACAGTGCTATTGATGCTGATAAGCATGAGCTAGGCACTAAATTAAATGCTAGATAATCTTACACAGAACCACCCTTGAAGGATACATTAGTATTATCTTTTTCATATCAGGGACATACTTGGGGATGACAAGTAATGTTGCCAAGGTCACACACTTAGCATGTAAGAAAGTTAGGCATTAAACCCAATTTCTTGTGACCTGAAAGTTTATCTTTTTTCCTTTATCACCGACCTATGCCTCGTCTTCATTAAAGGAGAAGTTTATTCAATTAAAGTTATTATTCTTTCTTCTACCCATACCAATTAGAAATAAAAACATCAAGATATACTAGAAATAAGCAAGGATAAAACCTGAGGAATACATAGTTTCTGGCAGCAGTAATTCATAGTCACTTAGGGATAACCTAACAATACCAGTATTCATCAAAGAAAGAAATTCTAAGCAAAGAGTCATCCAAAAGGCAAAATCAACTCCTACTTACTTTTAATATATAACTTAACAAAAGCTATATACAAAGTAAAGGTCAAGAAAAACTATAAGGGGCATTTGGGGTTTTGAAGATGGAGGTGTAGGTAGGTACACTGTGCATCCTCACACAACCAAAGAAGGACAACAAATTTAAAAACAAAAAACAACCAGAACTGCCAAAAAATCAAACTGCATGGAAGTCTATCAACAAAGGAATCAAAGAAGAAACATTCATACAGACCAGTAGGAGGGGCAGAGACAGGCAGCTGGGTGGGAAAGACTCACAGCAAGGCAGTAGCTGGAGGAGCAGGGAGTCCCACGTTTCCATGTGTATAAACTGGGAGGAACAACTGGGGAGCAGCACAGACCATGCAATCCAGGGTCCCAATGCGGGGAAATAAAGCCTCAAAATTCTTGACTGAAAAAACCTGTGGGGGTTGCAGCAGCAGGAGAAACTCCCAGCTTCACAGGAGAGCTTGTTGGAGAGACCCACAGGGTCCTAGAGTGTACACAAAACCACCCACCCAGGAATCAGCACCAAAAGGGCAAATTTTCCTTGCTGGTAGCAGAAGAAGTGATTGAAAGCCAGCAGAGAGCTGAGCAAGTGGCACTCTGCCCTCTCAGACCCTTCCCCCATGTACAGCACCACAATGCAGTGACATGGGTTGCCCCACCCTGGCAAATACCTAAGGCTCTGCCCTTTGCATCGTAACAGGCACACCAAGACAAACAAATATGGCCCCCCACAAAAACTAATCAAAGCTCCAGAAAAAAATACAACTAAGTGATGAAGAGATAGCCAACCTATCAGATGCACAGTTCAAAACACTGGTAAGCAGGATCCTCACAGAACTGGCTGAATATGGTTGCAAAATGGAGGGAAAAGTGAAGTGAAGGCTATGAAAAGTGAAATAAAGGAAAATGTACAGAGAACCAACACTGTCGGGAAGGAAACTGGGACTCAAATCAATGATATGGAACAGAAGGAAGAAATAAACATTCAACCAGAACAGAATGAAGAAATAATAATTCAAAAAAAATGAGGAGAACCTTAGGAACCCCAGGGACAACTTTAAACATTCCAACATCCGAATCACAGGGGTTCCAGAAGGAGAAGAACAAGAGCAAGAAATTGAAAATTTATTTGAACAAATAATGAAGGAAAACTTCCCTAATCTGGCAAAGGAAATAGACTTCCAGGAAGTCCAGGAAGCTCAGAGTCCCGAAGAAGTTGGACTCAAGGAAGCACACACCATGGTACATCATAATTAAATTACCCAAGGTTAAGGATAAGAAGAGAATCTTAAAAGCGGCAAGAGAAAAGGAGACAGTTACCTACAAAGGAATTCCCGTAAGACTATCAGCTGATTTCTTAAAGGAAACTTTGCAGGCAAGAAGGGGCTGGAAGAAGGTACTAAAAGTCATGAAAGGTAAGGACCTATACCCAAGATTGCTCTAAGTGATAGCAAAGCCATCATTTAGAATGGAGGGGCAGATAAAGTACTTCCCAGATAAGGTCAAATTAAAGGAGTTCACCATCACCAAACTCTTATTTTATGAAATGTTAAAGGGACTTATCTAAGAAAAAGATGATGATAAAAATTATGAACAGTAAAATGACAATAAACTCACAACTATCAACAACCGAACCTAAAAAGACAAAAACAAACTAGGCAAACAACTAGAACAGGAACAGAATCACAGAAATGGAGATCACATAAAGGGTTATCAGCAGGGAGGGGGAGGAATGGGGGAAAAGGTGCAGGGAATAAGAAGCATAAATGGTAGGTACAAAATAGACAGGGGGAGGTTAAGAATTGTATGGGAAATGGAGAAGCCAAAGAAATTATATGTATGACCCATGGACATGCACTAAGGGGGGGAATGATGGTAGGAAGCGGAGTACAGGGCAGAGGGGAATGAAGGGGAAAAATGGCATAACTGTAATAGCATAATCAATAAAATACATTTTAAAAAACTATAAGGGAGATTAAGTCCAATATTAATCATAAAATTAAACTAATGGAATCCATACAATATAAAACTAATAAAATTAATATGAAACCCCTCTACAAATATAAGATCATATGACTGAAATAAGCAGATTGCAAATGAAATGAGTCAATATTATAAATGAATATGAAACCTGTGGTATACTGTTCTTCCAGTTGCCCAGTCAGAATAATTACTTTTCTACCTAATTGATTATGCTTTGCTATTTTTTCTATATAAGTTAATCATCTTATTAATTTAATCTTTCTGTCTTGAGTGTTCCACTCAAAAACAATACTAAGATTTTTAAAAAACAAGCAACTGTACCTTTCCAACTGATCGACTTTTGCACCTCTGTTTACTAAAAATTCCACCATTTTCTCTTTGGTTTCACTTATAGCAAGCAACAATGGTGTGAGGTCATCCTGTAAAGCAACAAAAAAAAATTATCATTTATAAAACAATGTATCAATATACCCAAACTAAATTTTAAAATGTACAAAAGATCCTCTGAACTTAAACATATAATATAGAAAGTAAATGGAAGTAGCCCCTTCCACCCTGACCAGTGTGACTCAGTTGATTGGGTGTCATCCCACAAAGAGAAAGGTCGCTGGTTTGATTCCTGGTCAGAGCACATGCCTGGGTTGTGAGTTCGGTCCCCAGTCAGGGTGCATATGAGAAGAAACAGATTGATGTTTCTCATGTCAATGTTTCCTTCCCTCTCTTCCCCCCTCTCTAAAAACAAATAAAATATTTTAAAAGAAAAAAAAGCAGCTCCTTCCTTTTCACACCCTGTGCTGTCACTGGCTGCTCCTTCTCTTTAAAATGCCCTCCTCTCCCTCTTCAGTGGATTAATTGTAACACCATTCTCCAGGACTCACTTCAAACATTTACAGTAATGGTTCCAAGAATCTTTGTTCCTGTCACAGTATCTGTAGTGGTATACTCTTGTTATTTTAATTCTCCCCATCTAAACCAACAGTTTTTTGAGGGCTGAAGCTAATTTTTTGATCTCTGTATCTTCAAACCATAAAACCTAATAGTAAATGCTTTTAGTATTTTTATTGAATTAATAACCTAAATGATTAACTCTATAGTATTTCTTAAATTATATTTTGAAGAATATATACTTTACTTGAAGTTTATGCCCCGAAAGAAAAAGGACCCAAGAAGATGACCTGTGGTTTAAGAAATATACAAAACTGTACATTGTATGCCCAGTACCAAAGAAATGTTTAACTTTGCTTAATCCTGATTTGTCAATACTTTTCCATGCAAATATTAACATTTATAAATTACAGAGTTTCAGGGATACAGTTTTGAGAGCTTTTCAACAGAGATGAAGATTTTCTGCAGGTTATACACACTTGCTTGACTCTCCTCTACCGAAGCTATCAGGACCCCAGATGTCAACATCGGTCATACCTGCTTCAACAGGGTTTCGAAATCAATGGACTCTAAATCAAAAGAGATAGGCTTCAGATGAACTCTCATTGCTTACTACTAAATGGTCCATGGGTTTTCTTCTAGTATGAGGTGAAAGCTTTCATCCTAGCTGTTAGAAAGCTCAATGTGAAACTATACATTCTCGATCATGTTGACAATACTGGAACGCTAATAAATATGTACTTTTTAAAAAAATTGTTTTTATTCTGATTCCATTTCAATTGCCCTTAAAATTATTTTCCATTTGTGGCAAAAGATACATCAAAAAGTAAAAAAAGATACTTAATAAAAATTTTAACACTGATCTATACAAATTATTTTCAGTACAATGAAAGCTACTAAATCACTTGCATTTCTGAGTAACAATGCTGAGGAAAAGGATATAATGTTATCTGGAGTAGGCACACCTTATTCAACTCTAACCATGATTAACCTCTAAGACTTAGACATTCCAATGAGAATGTTACAGGAAAGTAAGATACTAGGGAAAATTCCCGGGCAAGTGGAATGGAGAAACTGAGACAAGAAAATACACAAGGTCAAACAGTCTGAGCAGGTTACAGCAAGTTGGTGAATCACAAAATCTTATCACCCCTAACCAAGGATATTCGAGAGCAAACGGTTTATTCCTCACCTCCCTAACCAGAGAATATGTATCTGAAATCACCCTGGACTGGGAAACAGAGAACTGAGACCCAGTTAATGCCATTTGTGCCAGCTAAACCCAAGGACAGATGAAGTCAGGGGAACAAATAACAAAATCTCATTAAAAGCCAGACAGACTCAAGATAAAAGTAAATAGTGTACCAGACTAAAGAACATTCCCAAACCCCTCCATAAGTTCATTTTGACTTCATCAGCATTTTAAAAATACATCTGGAAAGCTGATGAATATCCTACTGAAATCTTCCCCTAAGATTCTTGCTGGCATAAAAAAAAGATAAAAAGCCCTCAGGACAGACTCAGTGGGGGCTCACTGTAGGACACACCCATGCCCCTTCCTGGGCAGGAACATTTTACTTCCTCCTAAACTCTAAGGGTTTGAATGGGACTTGCAGCCAGGGGAGCAGTGGGCAGTGGCAGCTGAACTACCCTGATCCCGTCTTCAAGACCCCCTTTTTCTCTAATTGCTTTGGCTCTGGAGAGGCAGAGCACCACCTGGGCTCTCTCTTGTTGCTTCTTCTACCCTAAATCCTTCCTTTGTTTCACTGTTCAAGCTTTAATAAACATACTCTCAAAATCATGGTGTAAAATCTTTCCTACATGAAGTCAAGAACCACACAGAACAGACCAGCCTAAGGCAGACCCACTCCGGTAACAAGAATAGGATTTTTATAGGACATATAAAGGAAAAGGGTTTTTTTTTTTAAACAGCAACATATACTCTAACTTGAAAAATTCAGTTCCATTCTTAGAAGATTAGCATAAAATATTTATTATAAATGAGTGTAGGTGGTCTTTAAGATCTTGAAGTCTTTAATAAAATATACTATAAAACAGAAATTGTGAACCTAAGTGCTTACGGGGACAAAGTAGGTGACCCAAGCAAGTGCAGAATCTAGGTGGGGATGGCAGCAAACTGGAGAACCCACGTGTCCTATGAGGGGGCAGCCTCTGCACAGCAGAGCAAACAGCAGGAGGGGCTTAAGGGGTGCCAGATTTGCTTCTTGAAGAGAAGCTTGAAATCCTGATTTCCACATGAGACTCCTAATTTTAAAGGATGAGTCGATTTATGGCTGCAAACTAAATATATCCAGGGCCTGCATTCAGGCTAGACCACACTTGTGGTTTTATATTTGCTGTGTTTTTAAATGGGTGTGTATAAAGCACATTTTTGTGTTTACAACCATTCCTTCATTAGTATCCTATGTCTCACCAATATTTTGGGCCCCAATATGTATAAAAATCATTATTTAAACTAATAATACCCACTACAAAAATTTTCCAATACTTATTAAAACTATAATTTATATTTATTTCTCCCAGATTGTTAATTAAATAGATAATTATTTCATAGGACTGCTGAAACTAAATTATTAAAACAATTCTCACCTTCATTGTTGCTAAATTCATGGTTTTTGATGTGTTGATGTTTAAAACTGCCATCCTGATTAGGCCAGGGTTCCATGAATTTAACAGACACACTGAGAGAGTCTACCACACAGCTTCAACTAAAAGGAAGGCTCAAGACAATATTCTTGATGGAAAATCCTGCTTGTAGCAAACATTTAGTGATCTAAGGACCTGAAGAATAACAAATAATGCAAAATTCCTAAAGGGTCAGATTCTACTAAATAACAAACGACCCATAAGCAAGTTTCTAAAGACTCTGAGTGCCAGCGAATGTCTGATGATTGAAAGAAAAAAGGTGTTTTTGAGCCAGTAGATATTGCCAATAATGTTCCCTGCATAATTCCCAAACGAAGAGGTAGAAAGAGTTGAGAGTCAGGCCAATGCTGCTGGAATGGAAAGGGTTCAAGGAAGTATTGTCACCTATCAAATTTCAGCTCTTCTAGAGATTTCTGAAGTTTGTGCGATCTGTGAATTTATACATTACACTTATCCACTCAGTAGTTCTTAACCAAGTGTTGTATCAGAATCTCAAGGAAATATTTCTAAATTCACGTGTCCAGGCATTATTAGGTTTACTCAATCAAAATTTTTAAGAAGAGTCCAAGCTTGTGAACTTTTTAACAGTTCCTCAGGTGACTGTTGTTCACCTGCACACTTGAAGCTGAGAACTAGTGCAATACACCCTCACTTTAGTCTCCTCTCTCCCCTGCACGGCCAAATCCTTCTGCCATTTGAGGACTGGGCCAAGTGTAAGAGATAGGAGTAACTTACCAAAATGGCATGTAATTTCCTGTGTAGGGGTGGAAAGGGACTAATAAACTCCATATTGAGTGTACTGATTTCAAACTTACTGAGTTTATAAGTAACAAAATCAAACACCACTTGATTTTGTTACTTATAAACACCTTACATCCCATCCAGACCTTCTAGATTTGAAAGCAGAGTTCAGACTCTTATCTAAGTGGCTGTTGCTGCCAGAACAGGATAATATCTCAGTTAATTCCCTGTCCTTTCCTCTTGTTTCCCACTTGATGACAACTGTTCACTGCTAGTCCAGCTGCCTCAGAGCCTGCTAAGATTGATCTGGAGGCAAGTTTACAACTCTCTGACACTCTCTCCCAAACTAAAAATTACTGTCTCCAAAACCTGAAGAGCACCTTACCTAAACATATAAACTGAAAGGAGAGCAGAAACCAAAAACAAACAAACAAAAAACTAAAGGAAACTCTTCTGGTTATTTCCCCTCAATTGCCACATTTTCAAGTTGGCCTCCATTTCTAATTGCTCTTTCCCTTTCCAGTTCCTTTTTCCCTCTTAGGGCATGTTTGAGCTTCCTAATATTGAGTTGACCAAAAAGTCCATGTAGTTTTTTCCATAAATTAAAAGAAACATTTTTCATTTTCACCATTAACTTCATTGATTTGGATGTGTTGCTCCCGATATTGGCTTCTAGTGGGTAGAGTCCAGGGGTGCTGCTGAACATCTTCCAGTGCATAAGACAGCCCCATAACAAAGAATTATTTGGCCAAAATGTTAACAGTACCCAGAAACTTTGCAAACCACTTTTGACACTTTCCATCAGTCACAGCACCTTCTCCATATACTGCACAAATCCCTTTTGGCATACCAGCTGCATTTTTACCTTTCTTGAAATAAAGCATAATATGCCAAAAATGTCACTTATTTTCTTCTATCTTCAATATTAAAATAGCTACAAAAAAATTCACCAGTTTTGGTAAGTTTTTTTAAATGCATACTCATATGACAGCTCTCACAATACAGTCTAACAAAATTGTGTCCCATGAAGTTAAGACAACTAAGCACTACTAGAGCCATCATACAGAAAAAACTTAAGGAACTTTTTGGCCAACCCAATATGTAATATAGACCCTGCCTGTGTCAACTAAGGATGTTCCTATCAGGGTTACAGGGCAAGAGGTGATATACACCCAGGAGAAAAAGCGAGTGAACTGCTTTGCCATCACCTGTGTCCTATGTACAACAACCACCCCTCTGAGGAGCTACATGAGGCTGAGCAGAAGCTACACTCTGATGTGGAAAACCCCAAGGAGGTACGTGGCTGGCAGAGTGGCTATGAGCTCAAGTGGATGACTTTGCTAATGTCAAGACACGAGCTGATTCTCTTGCCACAGTCAGCACTTTAGGGTCCTGAAGTGTTCTGGGCCTGTGGACTTCTGCTCTCCCTTCCCACTCCCACTCACCCAGCTCCCCCTGCTGGGTACTAGGCCTCCTCCTCTCACTCACTCCCAGCAGCACCAGTTTCCTAAGCCCCTGCCTGCACAGTAGCCAGCCCCCACCCTCACTTCACTCTCCCCAGGCTTTCAGCCCCTTGTGGGCTCTGAGCCTATCACCCACTCCTAGGCACCAACAGGAAGCTTTTCCTTCTGGGCTGAAGGGTAGCTGGAGACAGAGTTTTGCCCCTTCTGTGGACACCGCATTTCTCCAGGCCTCTTTGATTTGGCTTTGGAGTTGTTTCCATAGTAACAGGGCCTGCTATATTGTATTCAGTATACATATGTGAGAAAAAAAATGCTTATGGCTAAAATAAAAACATGTATTTCAAATACTTTGTAAATAAAGTTGGTCAATGTATACCTTGTTTCTTGCTTCAATATTTGCCTTGTGTGCAAGCAGCTTTGCTACTATAGATGTATTTTGACCCAGGACAGCATGGTGGAGAGCAGTGTTGCCATCGATGTCCATTATATTGGGGTCGGCACCATGGTCTAGCAGAATTGTTGCACATTCCTCTTGCTGACACTGTACAGCCTGTCAGTATTATGCGGAGAAAGAGATTATAAATTCTGGGAATTCAAAGTAAACATTCCACAAGTTTCACCAAAAACTTATAGTTAAATGAGATAAATTTATTTTTATCTAGTAAGGAAATCAAATCCATGTCATGTTGACATAGTTGGCTACTACATACCTTAATCAGAGCTGTCCTGTTTTCACTGTCACCAAGGTTCAATAGGCATTTTCTATCAGCTAGCAGAGTGACCACTCCCGCATGACCATTGGCACAGGCCAAATGTAGGGCAGTCCTATAAAAGTGAGAAAAATTTTTAGGAACCTAGAGTGTACTACCTCAAAACATACAATTATTCATGTAATTGTAAACATTAAAAGTTATCCCTATGCCTCCAAAACAAATAGTTTTCTTCTGGAGACAGTACAATATTTATTAAATCTTGTCAGCATCAATGAAGGAGCAGTCTATGTGAATAGAGACCTGGGAACTCAGCTCAACTTCAGTCTTCTCTTATTTTAAGTTTGCCATGCATTAGCTATCACTTAACCTTTCTGTGCCTCAATTTCCTCATCAACAAAATGGGGATAAAAAGTCATCTCACAGAACACCACTGTTTGCTGAAATTAAAAGCTATGCAGTGTTTGCTACAGTACCTAGCACCAAACAAATCTCAATTATTGTTAGATTAAATTATTACTATTACTACAACTTTACAAAGACATTCAACTAAGTAAAATGATAGCATTATACCTACTTTGCAGGTATGTTTTAAAAATTAAAAGGTACACTATATTTCAATGATTCTAAGACACTTATTTTCTCACATTTTATAAATCATTTTTTATAAATTTTATAAATATAATTTATAAATCAGGATGTCTTACAACTATAATGGTAGGATTTTAGAAAATTCCTATTGGTACATAAAATATTAGGCATCATACCATGCATTGTGCCTTACATTAAGTGAAATAATGGTAAGCACAACAGGTATTTTGCAGTTCTAGTCATATGGTTGGCATGTAAATCACTTTTAGTTCTTAAAAGCATGAGAGAAAGACTAAACAAGAAAATAATGTTTTTTTAAAAGTAACTTTTACTTTGATTTTCAAGAAACTTTAAGCCAAAGGAAACTCAGGATTCAAGTGGATAAGATGGCTCATTTTACTCAATACAGATTGCACGAAAATTAGATATTCCCAGTGATCATCATTAGTATTTAACACTGTTACCCATTTCGATAACTAAAGGTTATCTTTTAGGAAGGAATTAAAGGTTATCTTTTACAATTTCCTACCTTCAGAAATACTTTTGTTTGAAAGGACAGAGAAAAAGCTTCAACTGTAGTCCTAATACTTCAATTTTAAAGTTCTCATTTTGCTAATACAGTGTAACATGAAGTTCTTAAGAAAAAAAGTGCCTGAGGATGGACTGAAAGAGTCCTGAGGAGAATATATCTGCCACATAGGTATTCAGGTTCTATTTCATGAATAAATACATTGAAAGAATGGGTCAATATAATTGAGAGTTCAAAATTTAAAAAAAAAACTTTTATAAAGTAAAGCAAAACTTTTGCAATAGTAATAATTACTTACATTTGCTATTTTTTATTTTTATAAGAACACAACTAAAATGATTAATCTATAATCATTTACATATTATACATAATAGAGCTATACTAAATAAAAACAATATGTGTATAATTAAACACATACATACATTCTACAGGGACAGATAAAAAGATTCCCTTTATTTGGGAAGATGGTAAAAGTTGTTAAAATATACCAATCCTCAAAAACATTAAAAAAAAATAGAAAGAGAAATTTTTGTTACCTGTGCAAGATTCATATTCCTATTCTTCCCCGAGATTATTTCATTCCTAATAAGTTTTACTAGAATGTCTATACATATTCATTGTACGTCAGATTTTTTAAAAAGAGAAATTTTCACTTATAATACAAGTGCTCAGAAATTTTATATTTTGCACATAATTTTTGCTAACATAAGGGCATAGTCTGTGTGTCTGTATAATCAAACTGATTTTTGTCTCCCTTTCTGATCTGCCAAAGTACATCTTTGCAGGTCAAAGTACTTCTATTACCTATACCACCTTCAATGGTGGCATGTTATTCCATCCTATCAATGCATTGCAATATTTTAACAAAATCCATTTATATGAGTTCTTATTTTAAGCAGTGCTGAGAAAAACAAATTGTATGTAATTTATCTAATTATCTCATTAAAGATATTTTAGTATAAATAGAATTAATGGGTAAAAAGTAATATATATTTAAATGTGGTACTTATAAACAAATTGCCTATTTGAAAACTCCAAAGCAACTTAAACTTTAAGCAGCAGTATTAAGGACCATTGATGGTCATCTTCACAAACTGTGGATGGAAAATGGTATTTCCCTACTCTTTTAATGTAAATTCCTCTTCTTACTAGCAACACTAAATATTTTTTCTTATGTCCATTGGTCACTTGTAGATATGTTAAAAGTATTTTACCCAATTTCAAATTAGAGCTGTTTTTCTTGTTGATTTCAAAGTCTTCCATGTAAAACAAAGTTATATTTTTTCTCTGATATGCACATGCTGTAAATATTTTGCAAGTATTTTCCTTTATTTTGTTAATATTACTTTCTGAAAGACAGAGCTTTAATTTTTTATATTGCTCAACCAACCTCCAAAAATCTTGCTTTTGAAGTCTTTGTCAACTTAAAACATATATAAATAGGCTTTTGTGTTTCTGCTAATAATTTTTGCATTTTGTAATTTGAAATTTTTAATCTACATTCCATCTGGAACTTATTTTTTGTGAGATTAACATCTAGCCCGTTTTCTCCAATACTTAACAGTTATTTCTCCATTTGTGAATAATTCATCTTTTTCTAAGAACGTAAAATGTCACCAGTACCAAGTCCTAAAGTCTTACATCTATTTGGACATTTCTATTCTGTTCCAATTCTTTCTGTCTTTCCAGCTATTAGTAAGAAAATAATTTGTGAAAATTGATAGCACGTGTTGATATCTAGAAGGGCAAATCTTCATCTACTACACAATAATTTTTTAAATTTCATCACAACCAAAGACAGCATGTGTAACACAAAAATTTTAGACCATATTTTTATCTAGTTTATGTAAAATTGATAATTACAAGAAAAGCACAATTTTGAGAAAACGATTTTCCCTACTTAAGACCTCAGCCATCTTTCAACTTCAAAATTCCCTTCTGCGGTTCCTCAATAAACATCGGTGAACACTGATATAAAATGGATATTGATTTTATCTAAAGAATTTTTAGCCCAGAAGTTATCTATTATGGAAATTATATATACTAGGCAATTTTCTATAATATACAGCATTACTATGGTATAAAAATGTGAACATCAAATATAGAGCGCTGTATATACTGAAAGTGTTCTTTTAAGAGGAATTATGAGTTGGTCCTTAAGTTTTTGTTTTTGCTGCTCCTAAAGGCGGCCTGAGCGCTAGACCCCACTGCCCAGCGCCCTCGTTGACAGGAGGTCTGAGCTCCACCTGGCTGAGCCCAGGCAGGTGAGACGCTGCTCCCAGGTCTACCCCACTTCCTCTAGGTTGACCCCCGGCCCTTGCCGCTGGCCTCACAGTCCCTATTACCTGTTCATCTTGTCTGTGTCATCCACGCTATTTATCCGGAGCAATAGAATCTGCTTCACTTTTGTTACGTTGCCCACTGTGGCAGCTTTGTGGATCTTCCCCAGATCTTTGTCTTGGATGTGGTACCCGTGCGGCGAGGAAACTCGGTTACTACTCTTACGCCAATCTCTCATGCTGCTGCTCCCCGGGCTGTTGGAAAAGCCCAAGGGTGACACGCCCTTCCTACCCCCAAAACCAAAAATCTTCTTCATCTTAGATAGCCTAAGGGCTTCAGAGAAGCCTCACCTTCCCCTCAGCTTTCCATCGCCTCCTGAGCCCATTATCGCTCTTGATGAGCCAACTGTCGCTTACTCCAGCACTCGAGCTGAGCGGCAGGCAGGCGGTTTAGAATCCTGCAATCCGGAATTACTGTAACTAAGCAACTCCCCCCCCCCCGCCCCGCCCCAAACCGCCGGCAAACTCAACTGCGCGTGCGCCTCTCAGAGCTCACGTCACTGAGCGTGCGCACAAAAATCCCTGCGGCCAAAAATACCCAGAGCGCATGTCTAACGTGTAGACGGTGTAAAATCTCTGCGGTTGTTTGTGGGTAGTGTGGGTTCCGTTCTCATGTCGCTGGGAGTTGGCAGCGACATTTGATACACGAATAAGTAAATATACGAAAGTTGTACTCGCGCCAGTGGAAAAGCTGTCTTTGCCTACGTCTATGGAGCTATAGTGGTGTGGAACCTGAGGGTGGTGAAGGCCTCCAGCCCAGAAAGCTCCTCTAAAAAAATCTGTCTTTGTGTCCCTCACTTTATTCCTCTTACACATCCCTATGTGCCCCAGCCAATCTCCAAGGAATTTGGCGGATGCAACAACAGGAAGATGTTTTCATGGTTTCAGAGGTTATGTCAATATGTGTATGCAAGTGCAATTTTGTGAGAAACAAATGGACCTTCTCCAGATGAAATGAAAGCTCATTTCCACATGCCTCTTAATTCTCCTCCTTGGTCTAGCCTTACATTTACGTTTTCTTTACTTTTATTTGCCCCAATTAAATATTTAATTAATCTAAGCTTTGTTTTGGAGCATGGTGTAACATTTAAGAACTTTTTTAAAATTGGCTATTCTCATGTGGCAAAACAAATTTTTTCACCTAGTCTAAAATACAACTTTTATTCTGCATTAAATTCTCTGTATTTTTTTTTCCTGTTTTGGGGTTTTGTGTTCCATTCCATTGAATGGTCTACTTCTTGCAAAAGTACTCCAGTATTTTAACTTCTTTATGAGGTATATTTTAATATCCATTATAAATCCAGTTTCCCCTCCTTATTCTGTAAAGTATTCTCCTGGCAATGTTTATCTCAAAATTATTTGAGATGAATCTTAGTGAGATTTTTATTCTAATTAGGTAGAGAATTAATTTTAGCTGAAAAGCAATCTCTTGAATCAGTGAATCCAAATACATACCACGTCTCTCAATTTGTTTAACTCTTATTTTATGTCCTTAATTACCTTTTGTCAGACTTTTCCTTGTGTAAATCCTCCCACTTTTTGATGTTTTTATATCTGGGGATTTTTCATTTTTCTATTGTGATAGTACATTTTTTCATTATAATTTGTAAGTGATTATTGTTTTTATATGTGTATAGTTATTTGACAGAATGAAGAATTTATTTAAGCTATAATTTTATAATAGAAGTTGATATTTTTCGTAGGTTCTTAGGAAAGGCAAACTGGATAACGAAGATTACTCCAGAAAGATGTAATATTAAAGAATGGTATGATGAAGATTAGAAAAAGAGTCAAGGACAATAAAATGTAAACAATACAGTGGCTGGTTTTCTTGGAGGGTAAGATAATTGCTAAAAAAATAAGAACATATAATGTAACTTTTTTTCTCAAATACCAGTAGCCAATTGTTTTCAGTTGTTTGCTAAGGGGGACATCTCATCTTTTTGTTTCCTTTTAATATTCTGCTTTTTGCCTTTTCTACCCACATCTATTCTCTACTATTATAACTAATCATCTTACTTTATGTAAATAATCTTATCATCTTTCTCATTATAAAGCCTCTTGTGCTCCACGCATGTTCCATATCCTTTAAGATCTTACAAACTTAAAATCTAAATACTTATTTTCCTGTGCCTCCTACTTTCTCTATAAGCAACTCCTGTCTTTTCATCTTTATTCCATGTTTTAGGAAGGCAAAAAAATATGCCGGCTCCATACTCCATAGAAATTGGCATAATTTTGTGAGTGTATACAGAAACTCCCTTTGCCATAGTACTTGACCCAGTAATTCCAATTGACCTCTACCTGGTATTGTGGGTGAAGCAGACAGGAGCAGGCACAGGCCCACAACAACAGCTCCTGCAAAACCAGCTAACCCAGAAATCACCAGGTTGCTACTGCATTTCTTAATGATTGAAAGAGCTAACCAAAATGAAAAGCAACAGAAACCACCATTATAAAAGATGAACCAGCAAAATCTGAAGGTTTGTCAGCCATATTCTATAAGATTAATGCATACATATTAATTTAGACAATTATTCTTCAGGGGCCATTAAATGCCATTTTGTTCTTTGTCCGTTGAGTAATTTGACAATAAATTGTTTGAAATTAGCAACGGAGAAACTGAGCGGACCTTCAGTATTACTTGCTGCTAAAATGTACCCATACAGCTCTGGGGAGTGCTGGGGTTCCTGCTGAGGGACAGGCATCTTTATTAGTAAAAGAACAATGAATAAAATGAACAACAACAATAATAGTCTTTCAGTCATATCCAGCTGAACTAGACCAAATGGTTTTGGCATGTGTGAATGGTTTCAACAATGATCACCAAGCATTTGCCTCCTACAGTAACCCTACCAGAAAAATATCATTTGTACTCTATTTGTCTCCTCAGTATTCCTCAGGGTGACCTGTGAGACCAATAAAGACTCTCTGTAGTGAAATCTGAAGAGAAGAATGTGACATTTTTTGAAGCAGTCTGTTATGAGGGTCAAAGACATTACCAGACTGCAGAGAGGACTCCAGGTCAGTTGTAAAGATTTGTTTGACACTAGTGTTTTTGTATGGATCAACACATAAAATGTACTGAAAAAAATGGAACATTTTATAAGGTACATGGTTATCTAATGACTATGCTGTACACCTGACATCAATACAAAATATTGAAACTAAAATGTAATTTTAAAAAAGTAAAAAAAAAGTAAACTGAAAACAAAGACATGTTTTTTGACTTCAAAATCCCCCTTTTAAATGTTATTTTAATAATCCTGAGAAAAATTATTTAGTCTTAGATTAAAATATCTTTACTAAATTATAAAATATCATTATCTTTACTATGGTCTATATAATTAAGTTTAAAGTGTAACTTTCCAGTTTTTTCCTTTTGTTTCATCTTTAGAAATTTATTCTTGCAGTTCAAGTATTTTACATGTTAAAGTATAAATGAAATATTATTTTCATTGTAGTTTCTATATGATTACGTGATAGTGCAATGTATTATTTATCCTCCCCGGCAGAGGATTTTCTATGCATTTTCTAAATGTTGATATTTAATAAATTGAAGTGTTGACATCTAATTTATCATTTTTCTTTTTAGGTTAGTGCTTTCTGTGTTGTCTCTTAAGAAATGTTTGCCAATGTAAAAATTACAAAAATAGGCATCTGTGTTTTCTTTTCACATCTAATAGTTTAAGCTTTATGTTGAGGTCTGTGATCCATTGACCTGTGTTTGTTTGAAAGTATGGATAGAGGTTCATTTCATTCCATAAAAGTTATCCATTTGTTTCAGCATCATGAGTGAAAAGACTATCCTTTCAATAATTAATTTGAATTAACTTGGCAGCTCTATCAAAGCATCAATTGACAATTCATATGTGATTTCATTTGTGTTCATTGATCTGTTTGTCTATACTAATTCCAATACCTCCTTGCCTTGATTATTGAAGCTTTATGTTAGTTCTCAAAATTAGGTTAAGTTGTCTAACCTTTTTCTTCTTTTCTACTTTTTTTTTCTATTTTAGCTTCTTTGCATTTAGGATACTAAATTTAGAACCACTTGTGAATTTATTTCAAAAAGCCCTCTGAAGGCTTCCAGTCAAGATGGTGGCATAGGTAAACATGGCTCACCTCCTAGCACAACCACTTCGAAATCACAACTAAACTATAGAACAATCATCATTCAGAACCATCACAAATTGGCCTGAATGAAAGTTCTATGGCTGTAGAATTAAAGAAGAAACCACATTGAGACTGGTAGGAGAGGCAGAAACATGGAACTGGCTGGTCCCACTCCCACATGTGGCAGATAAAAATCAGGAGGGACATCCCGGGAGCAAGAGATCCTAGATAACACCACACCCTCCTGCCCAGTGTTCCAATACCAGAGAGGTAAGTATCAAAAACTTCTGGCTATAAAAACTAGCAGGAATTGAGGCTGTGGAAGACAGAAAGTCTTTGAATCCTAGGCAGTTCCTCTTAAAGGGTCCACACACAGACTTACTCAGACTCACTCCCCCTGAGCTTCAGTGCATGGGCAGCAGATTGAAAGGCATCATAGACATATGGGGAGGAACTGAATTTTCTGGCATCAGGGTGAGAGCTGGGGGGCAGCTTTCTCCTAGACAGAAGTGCTGGCAGAGGCTATTGTTCCTTTTCTGAGCTCTCTATCCACAGAGCCAACAGGTGGCTGCTATATCTGAGACTCTATCAACCTGGCTCACACTCTTCACCCCACCCTAGTGATTCCCTGAGACCCTGCCCCACCCAACTTTCAGGCCCACCCTAGCTATTTCCAGTGGCTTTTCCATATGAATGTTTTGTCTTATCCCATTCTTCAGATTTTCCTAAATTCTCTCAAATAAGCTTCATCTGGCTTCAGCAAGTCCCATACCTCTTGCTAAGTTGCCCCAGGCTCAGCATTATCAACAGCCTGCTTTCATTTACAGTTTGGCTTCTGCAGAGCATCTTCAAGCCCAGCACAAAGCAGCCATCAGCAGATCACTTTGTTGCTAATGCTGTGTGACCCAAAACAGAACTCAGACAGTGGGTGATCTTGGAAGTGCCAATAGCAATCAAGGCTCAACTAAAAGAGAAGGGTGTACATAGCCCACACAGCAGGCACACCTTGAGCACCTAGCTTCGGTAAAAGGGGAGGCTGTGTCATGGACCCTACAGAATACTTACTGTATTAAGCCACTCTATCAAGCCTGGGAAACATAGTAGCTCTACCTAACACATAAAAACAAACAAAGGGAGGCTGCCAAAGCGAGAATACAAAGAAAGATGGCCCAAGTGAAAGAACATAAAAAATCCAGGAAAAGAACTAAACAAAATGGAGAAAAGGAATCAGATGAAGAGTTCAAAACACTGATTATAAGGATGCTCAAGGAAATTAACGAGGAACTC